AAAAATATATAGGTATGACTCATAAATTACGCATATATTTTTCATGTTTTGGACTCTATTTTTAAAATTTTGATCCATAAACCATATATTGCTCCTTTAATGCGTAGCTACTAATATTTATTGTAGAATAAGCTTCTAAAAGAAACTTGTAGCATAAGCTTCTAAAATGACACTGCAAATTTCCAACTCCCTTCCTACCATAAATGCTAACGAAGTTATAGCTTGGGCTCTTAATATTGAAAGTCGTTATAAGTGATAAGCACATGAACATTAGCAGTTTTTTACGATTTCCATATAAAGCGGTAGAATCCTTCCTTCTATGGGATTTGAAAAAAAAAGCTGCAAATGTTCAGGCGCATATAACTTAGCGGGATTAGCAGATAGCAATAAATGTTAGTCACCATTTGTTGTAGCCTAATATCAGGACTACATGACTATGCAGACATTTTTATGTTGTTCTATCGAATGCCAAGTTATGCATAAAAATATCTAAAAAATATTTACGTAAAAATTTTTTTGGCCGATTTTCATTTGGTTCTAGATTGGTTCTAGAGTAGAGTTGCCTTCAAATTGGTTCAATGGTAAGGTAGTCACAAACATCAACACCTAAAAACACCCAACCCTTTTTTACGTGGTCTTATATTCCTTTCTTCAGATGTTCAACTAAAACCAAGCTTGATGCAACTGGTGTCAAAAAATCAGAAAAAAAAAATCACACACAAATATGGTAGGGTGGAGCACTACTTCAGCCTAATCGCCCATTTTGGGCATATCGAGCAGAAAACATCAACTAAATCCATTGTTTCAGAGTTAACAAGTCAAGCTGAACATTGCATTAGGTCCTAAGTAACATTAACAGATTATCTTCGTCGACTTTCTCTTTGCATCCCCATGGCCTTGTTAAGACATTCCCAGGTATTGTCAGTACACAGATCGACAAAAGAAGCTTTTATCTAGCATCTAATACGACTAACACAACAAGAAACAGTTAGGTGCTCAAGTTATTAACGAAAGATAAAGTCGACGAAAAGAATCGATCAATGCTACTTAGGACCAGCGTTGGAGAAGATCGCGATATTTCACGAAGTTCACCAAGGGAAAAGTTCGCGAGTCATAGTGAGTTTTGGTGAACTTTTCCAACACTGCTTAGGACCTAATGCAATGTTCAGCTTGAAGTCAATTATGCGTTTGGTACGATACAAAAACAAAAGAAGCGCTTCGAGCGACCATTTTTATCTTCATCTGATACGCTGAAGTGAATTCAATGGCGTTTGAATGGCGTTTCAATGCATTAGGCCTAATTTAGAATCCGTAGGCCGAGTTTGGGGTCAAGCAACAGTGTTAGAGTTTTAACAATCCCTCTTTATCAAATCTTACGGTATGTATGGAAAGGTAAATAAGTTTAGAAGTCATCTGCAGTAAAAACATTCCATGTTGTGAAAAAAAAAAATCCACTCGAAAAATAGAGGCAAAGGGTGGATTGTGATTAGTACGCCTAAAATTAGATCTAAGCCCTACCTATAGAAATTTTACAACTTCACCGAAGAAAAATAAAATCGGAAAAATGTGTCCGTGTGTTTCTCATAGCATTGTGAAACGGTCTACACCGATTGACGACAAAAAAAGGGTTGGGTGTTCTTTCATATAAGCAAGAATTGAGGTATAGTAAATTATTCCCACTTTCATATAGAGCAGTTCCACGCCAAATGTCAGATCAGAAAAACTCCACCTTCTCAGATTTGAATAACTTTTATCATAATTGTATGTTTTGAGAATTCACATTTTTGCTAAATTTCGGTAATTTTTCAATTAATTACAGTCTTGCTGCAACAATTATAAATGGTATTGTGAGAAAAAAAATCCAAAAATGTTTTAAAAACTCAAATATCTCAAAAAGCAAACTATTGGAATATTTAAAACCATGATCACTTGAAAATTGACCAACATTGTAGAACAAGAACTTTCGGAGATTTTTTAGAATTTTTTGCTGGTACCCTTTGTAATGAAATTTCTACACAAGAAACAATATTTGAGACATTCCAAATCGTTTTCTGTGTAAAGATTACGTAAAAAGGCTTGCTAACCAGAATCTTAAAAATATTACCAAAAGTTATTCTACGATTTTTGTCAATTTTAAAGCAAAATAACAAAAACAAATTACCGTGTATATTTTTCCCAGAAAGACTTCACGTTTCTCAACAACTTGTCTCATGCATCATGTCGATTTGTACTACAATTTATTGAAAAATGGCCAAAATTTTGCTAAAATGTGAGTAATTTCCCATACCAAACAATTATGCAATGTACCATGCAAATCGGAGAAGGTCGAGTAAATTATTTTTATAATTTTTCTTGCTGTTTGGCGTAGAATTATAAGTAGCTAAAAATGGTAAAACAGAAATTCAAACTTGATTGATTTTAGAAATTGATGTCACTGGAAATAAATTATTTATTTTAACGGAGAAAACAGACGAACCGCCCTGTATTGAGAATCAAAGTAAATTTCCAGAGTTTCGAAAATTTCTTAGGTTTCATAGTTACCACAATCCAATCGAAATCCAAAAATTCATAAATTTTAATGCACTGGAACTATTTGAATAAGTACGATAACTCTGATATGCAGAGTAAGCTCAATGACCTAGCTGAACGCTCATCTGCGGCGGGTCTCACCATCAACGTCAACAAGACCAAATCGTTGGACATCAACACGGGCAACCCTTCCAACTTTACGGTAGCGGGGCAAGCAGTGGAGAAGGTCGAAAGATTCCAATATCTAGGCAGCCAAATAGCGTCGGACGGCGGGATCAAGAGCGACATAGGTGCACGAATCAAGAAGGCTAGGGCTGCCTTTACGACTTTACGAAACGTATGGAGATCCAACCAGATAAGTCAACGCACCAAAATCCGAATTTTCAACTCGAACGTGAAATCTGTGTTGTTATACGCCAGCGAGAAGTGGTGTGTATCAGCGGAGAACACTCAAAAGCTGCAGGTCTTCATCAACCGATGCCTGCGGTATATAATTCGTGCCTGGTGGCCTCACAACTGGATCTCGAATGCCGAGCTCCATCGTCGATGTCATCAGAAGCCGATAGCAACAGAAATTCGCTGGATTGGAATCCGGCAGGACATCGCAGCAGAGGCAGACCCAGGGGCTCATGGTGGCGGAGCCTCAATAATGAAATTAAGGGGAAGCTCACCGGCCCAAAAATAAAAAAATATTTTCGGTACGTTTTTATTTTTCTAAAAATATTGGGAAAAATTATCAAAAATCCAAGAAAATCAGTTTCTTCCTTAGATTTTTGTCAAAAATTACATGCAAAAAAATTTTTTCTATCCCATCATGAAAAAAAATTGGACTCTCAGAAAAACCGAAAAGTTGATGTTTTGTGGTTTTTTGAGTCCAACTTTATGCCATAATGACTTATAAAACATGTTTTTGCACGTGAATTTTCTTTAAAAAATTAGAAAAAAATTGATTTTTTTAAATTTTTGATACTTTTTTTCAATATTTTTAGAAAAATCAAAACGTAATTATTTTTTTCGAAGCGGTGAACTTCCCCTTAAGCAAGTCGATAACTGGGCCCAGGTCAAGGCAAAAGCGAGCAGCCGCCCAGGATGAAAGTCTTTCACGTTGGCCCTTTGCACCGCTGGTGGTGCACAGGACCTTTAAGTAAGTAAGTAAATCAGCAATCGACATTCAATGACTTGTAGTTGCAAACAAGTTGAATTGGGTCGTTCTTAGTGAAAATCTAAATTTCCCATTTTTTCCATTTTTCAGTAATAATGCCGTACATAATTGATGTCAAATTGGGTCAAAACATTGATCATTTTTACGTTGATCCCTAAAGAACTTCATAAAATATTGTACGATGGGTACAAAAAGTATAAGAAACCTGTATTGTTACACTGTCCAAAATTTATTATAGGAGCATGATGTAAGATTATAAAAGTACATACATGAAATTTTTCCTATCTATTTTTGTGAAGTTTACTTCTCATGATATAAATAATTAAAAATCTTTTATCTTCTTTTCTCTTCTTTTTCTTTTTAAAGAATTAAAGAAATTTTAATTTTTCTTTCTTTTTCTTTTTAAAGAATTTTAAAGATAGATAAAATTGTTTATAACTTATTTTTGATACAGTACTTGTGCAAAAGTATGTTTGCCACTCTTATGTTATATCCACTTAACCGACCGGTCCTTGGCACATACATTAAGGTTATTTTTGGACCTCGAAGTAAAAATACTTTTGCCCTTTCTTCTTACTGATCAGACAAAGGAAATACAATGGAAACCTCATTTCTTTGAATTTGATAGCACATCAAAAAGCAAGTGTGGGGGAACTGTGGGTAATACACGCCAATGTGATAAAATGAAAACCAATTGCCTTTTTGTCGTACGTTTCTTACACCCAATAATACTGTAGTGCACCGAATGCCAGGCTCTTCATTAATGCAGCAACATAGATATATATATATATATATAATGATCATGGACGATTCTACAGGACCATAATACAATTTGAAACATGGAAGGCGTTAATATTTGAAACATGGAAGGCATTAATAATCAAATTTTAAAAGCGCCCCCAATTGTGGGCTAGACGTTAGGATTTTGGGCCTTACGGTACACG